TACTTAGGTATATTGTTTTTTGGGAAGCCTAATAAAAATAAATAACCTTATATTTTGGAAGAAAATTATACTACATCTGTCCCATAAAATTTTTCAAATACAAAGAATGGCGTCCCATAAAACTTTTCAAATTAGAAAAAAGGTGCAGCCTACAATCATATATCCAACACATCATACCTTATTACCTTATTACAAAGTAAAGAAAGAGTTTAAAAATAATATCAAAATTATATATTTTTAAAGGAATTCAGTGTTATGTCATTTCCAGATGATATTCTTTTTAATAGATTTCAAAATAATTTCTTGATTGAGAACTTGGACTATGACAAAGAAAAATTGTCATTTAATTTTAGAATATATTTATCTATGATGAATGAAGATCAAAGAAATATATCTAATGCGATAATCGAAATTCGATATCTGAAAGAGGAGGTTTCTTTTTTTTGTATATGGTTACGGGAGACTTGGAAAAACCTTTATATAGAAAACAATGTCTACTTTTCATTAACGAATGGTATGCATGGCTGTTTGGAATATTGCATCCAGTGACATTGCAGTATTGCTTTTGCATAGTGGAAGGACAACACACTCGAGATTCTCAATCTCTCTAGCTTTAACTGAGTGATCAACGTGTGCTATCAAAAAGGGGGTCCGGAAGCAGAATTAATCTAACAAGCAAGTGGAATCGTATGACATGAAGCATGTGTGATGAATAGATTTACTTTTGAGGTATTGGCTCACACAATGAGAGAGATATTGAAGTTCTACAATAATGGCTCTAGAAATGAACTATTCGGAGGGAAAATATTAGAACTCGGAAGTGATTTTCGCCAGATACTTTCAATTTTACCAAAGTTTCGAGAGAGAAAAGTATAGGTGCTACCAGGATTTCCCCAGAGTTGAGGTTGTATTGTAAAGTTTTTACGTTGAGTAAGAATATGGTATTGCATTAATCTATGTCATCTTATTTAGATAGGGATACACAAGCTTTTTCTGATTAGATAATCAAAATTGGAGATGAAAGGCTTGGTAAGGTGATTAATGGAATTGCTGACGTTGAAATTCTACCGGGATTCTTGATTCTTGACATAAGTTATCCTCTTAAGAGTATAGTACTAGAATTCACTTATCTGAACTTATTAGAGAATATGAAAAAACATACTTTTTTAAGATATGGCACCATTAGCACCCACTCTCAAAATTGTTGAAATGGTAAATGAGTTTGACTTATTCCTTATCCTCAGTGATGAAAAAGGAGTACTTGAGTTATAATTTTTAATGGCAAGAAGATGCTAATGTAGGTGTTGATGCTTATTGGATAACATTTGAATTTTTGAATGAAATCAAATGTTCAGATGTTTGAGAATCCCAAATCAATTCAAAAAAATAGTTTTGAAAAAAAGGGTACTGATTATTTTATTTGAATTGTATAATGATACAAGATTAATTGTTGAAGAGGTGTGAAAAAATGTTAAACATGTAATCGTGGTTTCGAGAAATTGAGACGGGAAAAAGTTTACATACCTCGAATAAATATGGTACTATATGATCCAAGACTACCCCCTAAAGTTTCAAAAAGACAAATCCTAATAGTTTTATGTTTTGCTATGATTATTAACCAAAGTTATGGTGAAACATTATCTTTTGTTAGATTATTTTACTCCCTAACTAAGTGAGTATTCACTTATGATCTATTTTGTGTTGTTGCTTCACGAGTGAAGAAAAATACATAATTAAAAATGTTTATTTTAGATGATAATAGAAACTCTTGCAACCATGCATACCAGAAATGTTGTATACCAGAAGTGTTTCAAAAAATTTGGATTTTAATAAGTCTTTGTTTTATATACTTTCAATTCTTCAAATATTATTTATTCTACTTTGATGTTGATGTATATATTGTATTAAAAATCATGTAAGAAATTTATTTTATTTAATCCACAAAAAGTAATACATGAAAAAAAAAAGAATAAAAAAATCATTCGGTCCCGTGCATGGCACGGGTCAAAATACTAATATTCATTATTTGTGTGTTATTTTTGCTTCGATCAATAAAATTTATAAGAAAAAGAGAATTAATTTTTTGTATTTTAAAATTTAATATCAACGTAACAAACAAAACAAAAGAAAAAAAATTAAACCATGTTAGAAGTTAAGGAGCCATCCATCAAACCTGAAGTCGAGAATGATCATCCACTACCCCTAAATATACTCCGTATTTAATACTCTTCGTCACTAAAAGATCGTAACAATTTGATTTTTTAGTCAAGTTATGTCAATCTTTGACCATGAATTAAGTATACTCCAAAATAATTAATATTATAAAAATTTGATATTTCAAACTATATTTTAAAATAAACATAATTTTAATAAATTTACATTAAAAATAAATATTTTTTTAGAATATCAAAGATGCCTCAGTTTGACCAAAAAAGAGACATAGAGAATACGGAGTATAATTTATCACGGAAGGAGAATAAAATGTTTGTATTTTGAAATTAAATGTCAATGCAAAATACAAAACAAAAGAAAAAGGAGAAAAAAAAAGTAGAAACCTGTCAGAATCTACGCCCCTCACTTGCATTGCATCATCCAGGCTTATTTTTAAGAGCCTACTTTATACCCCTTGGGTTTTTCAAGTAGGGTGGTAGACATTGAATAAAGGCTTTGATGTGATAGATAAAAATGATAAAAATGACTTTGATGTGATGAATAAAAATGATAAAAGTGAAAGGTATGGTAAGAAAAAAATATGGATAAATGTGATTTTGTAATAAAAAGTGGAAGAATTTTAGGGAAAACAAAAAAATTACAAGATAAAGTATTTTAAAAACGCAAGGAATACATTTAATGCAAAGATTTGGTAAATCTATTGAGTCTTTCACATTCACCATATAGCTAATACATTCAATCTTTCTAGGGGTAGGAAAAAAAACCAAACTAGCTAGCATGTACCCTATTGGACCGTAAAGACACCGAACCATTTATATATAGTATTTTTAAATGAGATTAATTTTTTCCATCTGAACTAAAATCGAACTGATATCAAATAGGACTCCACCCGAGTCACATTTTTTCCTAAATCCGTCACTTAACTTATCGAAAAAAATTGCCACATAATTTGTCCAAATTTAATATTTGTATCCTTATGTAGAGATAATTTTTTTTCTACATCAATTCTAATAATTTTATTTAGACACTTAATATAAAGTGAAAAATGAATTCCTAAGAGGGCAATATAAATATAATTTAGTACCATCTTAATTATAAACATTTACCCTATTTAAAAATTGGCTAGTGATTTCTAAGGAATGAAATATAATACCGAGTAGTTTTTGAGCAATGCTAGCTATGTTCACAAACTTTACAAACTTACCATTTCAGATGTAAATTCTCATTTTAATATTATTTCACACTATATTTATTATTGAACTTCTGAGATATTAAGTTTGTGAAATTTGTGATGGTTTTGTTTATGAACCAAGCATTTCTCGTATTTTTTTGATAATACGTGTTCGCTTAGGTGTATGCTTATTTGTCCAAATTATGACACATAAACATTCTAATTAGTGTGACACATGTCGCAATCCTAGAAGTCCAACTCTAAAAAAACCAAACTAACTAGCATGTACCCTAACGGACCATAACGACACCAAACCATTTATATATAATATTTTTAAACAGGATTGATTTGTTCCATCTGAACTGAAATCGAACCGATATCAAATAGGACGAGACCATGATACAAATATATAAAACTGATTATCACGGATTGAACTGTTCAAAGCTATTTACGAAGTATCTCAAATACTTATTTGTTTATTTCATCTTACCATGCTAAATTGCTAAGTGGAGAGTGGGGGTAAGTGGATACGCAATCTTCTTATTGAACTATACCAACCTCTACGCCGACCCACTATTGTAATTGGCGACAACATTAATACCGTCTACCTGTCTTAGTGTCTTCTAACTCTTTTGAGCACCAACGCACCAAACATGTAGAGGTTGATATTCACTTTATTTGGGACAAGGTAGCACTTGGTCAAGTTCATGTTTTTCGTGTTCCTTCTTTCTCTCAATGTGCTGACATTTTTACCAAAGGACTTTATCACTTCTCTTCACAGACTTTTGACATAATCTTGGGGTTCGCTCGTCGTGGACGTAGCGGGGAGCATGTTAAATATTTCCATATTTTTTATTGTTATATATTTAATATTTGGTCGTTTGCTTCATTGTATAGGTTTTCTTATATTATTGTTACCCTCTTTGTATACCTTCTTTGTACTCCGTATATATATGGGGAGGTGAACCTTTTGTAATATTGAGATCAATAATATTTTATCATGTAAGTCATTATTTGACAAATAATGTCATCGGAATTTTTTTTCATAAGATCTACATCTACTCAACGATTCTAATATTGTATATATAATTTTGACGTTACGTCTCACATATATTTTCAGTCAAACAATTGTCGGATTGAATGAACTATGTTTTTTTACTATTTTTTGAATGAAACACATTTTAATCGTGTCTCGTTTATATGTTTTTCCTTTTGAATTAAACTATTTTATGTTTTTTTTGTTATAAAAAAGTAAAAGAAAAAAGTAGAACAAAAGTAAAAGTTTTTTTAAATATTAATTAAAAATAAAAACGTAATCATTGCAGTAGAATTGAGACACTACAAGTATGAGTAGTAAGATGGTGAGTGCGATCAATGCTGATGTAACGTTGAGTGGCTATTGATTAAGAATTAGTGGCGGTGGAGCACTAGAAAATTTTGAAAATAGACAAGTCTTTAAGATAGGTCAAAGGAGAAGAGTATACTAACAAGGGGTATGATTGGTTGAGTAAAATACTTTGAAACATGGAGTAAACCAGCCAACATGGAGTAAAATTCTTTGAAACATGTCTCAACCCAAATATCAAATCATTATGTGACTGACATAAGCAAGGACAAATTACAAGTAAAAAGATGGCTTAGTGATTTTATGGATATCAACCTTAATTGTAATTTATGCAATCTTATGGGAACAAGTACAATTCGCAGATGATTATAGTGTGTGTGGGTGCAAATTTACAAACAGTTGTCATCCGCGATGTCAAACTTGATTTTATTCTAGCACCACTCCTTAATTAGTTATGCAATTAACAAGTGAACAGTTTTCTCCTATTTGCATCAATTGCTAATAGGGTTAAGAGATCAACTTAGCTTTCTTGAGGATCTTGGTATAGTGACCCAAAGGATACTCCCATGGAGACACTTTTAGCCCTTTCCCTTTCTTGATGAATATATGGTCATCTACTTTTTTCAGGGCATAGCCATTTGGTCAATGATGCTAACCAGCCCAGACTTGTATGTTGGGTAAATCAGCTTAACTCCAAGTTCTTTTTTCATCCGGGCATTTGAAACTCGCTTTTCGCCTCCTCTATAAGCTCCACTGGACAGAACTGGTGAATGTTCTTCGCACTGTTTGGTGATGACGATGTCTCGCCATTTCTTCTCAACCAATCTCTCAGCAAATCCAAACACTTCCTCTCTAGGAGCAGGCTCATCATCCACAATGTTGTATATCCTACTGATGAATTGAGAATGAAGAAATAAAGAAAATAAGATTTAAAAAAAACCAATAACAAACAAACCCGGGAAAATCCCATAGATATTAGGGTCAAGGGAGGGTGAGTGTATGCAGATCCCCATTAGGAAGGTTACATGCACTCACCCTCCGAAACCCTATTCACCCTATCTTCGTGAGATTTTACTGGATTTGTTGTTGTTGACTTATTGTTGTTGACTTCTTGTTGTAGAAACAATATAGCAATATATATTGTCATAGAGCAAAATCAAACACGCAATCACATAAGTATTCAACATTTTGCAATATAAAGGCCCTTTTAACTGCACTTGATAGGCCTGTACTAAATCCGTCTAAAAAAGATAATGTTTTTTTCATCAAGATACCACTTTCACTTTGGAAAGGTACAAGTCTTGCAAATTATCGATCTTACTCTTATTTTTTAATTCATTTGTATCTTCAACTAGATTTAGCATATACTTGAATTGTTTGGAACATTTTTTTTATTTGAAAAATATATCATACTCAGTGAAAAAACTCCATTTTCTGAAATGTCAAAAGATTACTATTTGGGACAAATATATATATTTTTTGAAACAAGACTTCTCTCTGGAACGGATCGAGTATTTATTTACATTTTCCCATATGCCATAAATTCACAACTGCAAATAATGATCTGCAAACTGCAACTACAAAAAAATGATATAAACCCGAACATGTGTATCTTGTGTTTTGTGGCATTACCTTACCTTTGATGGTAAATAAACTTGTTACAAATTGAAAAGAGTAATTATATGCAAACTTACCCCGGCGATGGATTCTGGATGCTGGCATTGAGTGCTTGGCAGATGTCAGCAACATGAACTCGAGAGATAAAATGCTTGGAAGATCTTATGACCTGATTCTTTGAGAGATTCCCCTGCTTAAGAATGGTACCAACAGCACTGCAACAAAAAGCTCATAAGACCCCCAAAAAAGCACTCACTTTGGTCCTATTTATAAGGGATTTCTAGCAACTTCACTAGTGCCAAGAAATCTTGTAACAATGTAAAAGATAACCTAACTTCATATGAAATTTAACTTTAAAGTTTTACCCCTAAAAAGTAAAAGCAAAAAAGTAGCCTCAAAACTCTTAAAGATCAGATATTTTATGAAGATCATTTTCTGCAAGCCTCAAAAGCATCAAATTCTATTATAAAAAGGGGGACAAAATTCTTCTAGAAACACCCTTACAAATGCAACAAGGGACAGAGGGCGTATGTACTCTTAAAACGTTTCGTCAATCATCAAATGTTTTCCCGTTATCACAAGATAAACACTGGTAATATAGGCTACCTTTGTTTTGACTTTTGTTGCAGGGATTTGAAAGATTGAATATGAAATTCTCACTGCAGTGCAGCTTGGTGCCTTACGCATTGAAGTGTGACCCATTTGGTATTAGCTTGAGCGTTTTGCAAATGCTATCCAATGGTAACTTTTAGTGTTACCATTTTCAAAGCTAATCTAGACCATTAAAAAATTATCCGAAACGGTAACCACAAACTTTGTTTTCAAACAACCCCATGATATGGTGACATTGTTGGGGTAGGCATCTTATCTCACACTTCACTGCAGTTTGATAGCCTCTACTGAAATACCAAAGTGAGTTTGGTTTTATTAAAATAATTTTTATTTATTTACTATGTACTCGGGTAATTATTTTATTTTGAGTCCATTGTAAGTGGAGCTAAAACAGTCATTTTGTACAATGTTTTAGCTTCAAGTAAACAATTAACTAAATTTAAAAATTTAAGGTTGGGGATATGAAGGTATCTTTATATCGGTCTGGCTCTAACCAGGATCAGTCCCAAAGGCATATTACTTCACTTGCTTCTTACTTGAGAGTTTTGGGGTGTAAATGCAGCAAGGGAACCTATCTTTTTTTACACGGGTAAAGTTGTGTACATCTTGACCCCATAACCCAAGAGAGTGGAGATTATATTGCGGATTTACGGTTGTTTTTTATTTTCTACCACCCTGCCACAATTAGTTTGTCAAATTCACTTATGTGTTTCATATTAGTGTTCTGGTTACCACACTCACCGCCACAGCTAACTTTCTCTCCAGAATCACAGCTATGACAAAGGAGCCGTTATACTTATCCAAGGGATCCAACTCATCCAAGTTATCGAGCATTATAATATTTCTGAAAAGTTCACAACAACCTTCTGCCAGGGCCATAGATACCACCAAGTCGGAATACATGGGCAGCAACCTCAAAATCAAGACCCAACTGCAGCCATCCTTCTTCAGCAGCTAATCTAGCTCTAGCCGATTCGTTTGTAGGCCTTGCTGGAAACCTGGACATATAATGCACCAGACAAATTTTAAACCAACTCACGTTGCAATCATATGAGATAAAACACCAACATATACAGCTATCAACCTTTTAAGATTGGATCCCAAATCTTAATATCAATGACACTATAGAAGATTTCAATTTTGGACAAATCAATAAAGTGGCAATTCCCATTTGCAACTTACTCTTCATCTACCCATGCACCACTACAGTCCCCATATAGACCTACAAGTCAAAAGACAACCCAAACAAACATCACCGGCATTAATATGCTTATATGCCTACCCATCACATAAATTTTTAGTGCAAAACATAAATTTGAAAGGGAGTCATACTAGTTGATGACAAGTAGCCGAGCCACCTGAGATCGCCATCTTTCAAACTATTATTTAGTAATTCTTTATGTTGAAGCATCTGCAGAAGATATGATCTTATTAGAAGAACGTAATTAATAAAAAGAACTCTTAAATTTAAAAAACATGAGTATGAGCAAAGAAGATAGATGTAAGGTTTACAGGATCACCGATGGCAGGAACAGGTGGAATTGATATGAGAAGATGTGAGTGATATCTCATGACATCTAGGACCTCAGGTCTGAAAGTGGAGCACAAGAAAATGAGTAAAAACATAAACGAAAAGGAAAAGATGGAGAAAAGAAGGGATAATGGAGCGAAAGTTAGGATGTCGAAATCATCATTCAGTGAAAGTTACAAATAAACTTGGGTAAATTTAAATATCACACACACCACACACAACAACGAAGCCAATAAAATCCCACCGAAGTAGAGTTCGGGAAAGGTGTGTACGCAAGACCTTACCGCACCCAAAAGTAGAGAAGCTATGTCCAAGAGACCCTCGGCTCAAAAACAGAAGCACATATATAAAAATTAAACAAAATAGACAAGGTAAAATACATCGAGTAAGAGCAAAGATGCAAAAAGCACAAGAAATGACACATAGAGTCAGAGACACTAGCAACAAGGCCCAAAATGCAGGAAGCCCATGAGCACTAGCTCTAGTCTCTAGACATAGCCAAAACACACATGCAGAAACAACGAGGGACCAAAAGCCTACCCAACTACTCTAGTACTAGATCTCCAAACATCTCTATCTAAGTTCATATCTTTGCTAAGATCCAGAAGTCAAAGGTCATGTCTAATCACCTTGTTCCAGTTCTTCCTAGATACTGCTATGAATTCTCTGCTCTTTCCATCCTATATGGAACGGTTACACATGGGGCATACTTGCTTTCCAACCATGATAGAGTTTGCGAGGACGTATAGCTACTTCATACTCACTCTATTCCTCATTTAATTTCTAACTTTCCTTTTTAAGATTTCCCCAAATTAAGTTCACATAAAGACACCAAATAATCATCACACCAAAAAGTTAAACACATCACTTCACCGACCAATCTTTGATTGGGGGTCATATTTGGAAAGTCCAAAAAATACTTTCCGAAATTCCAGAAAAACCTGTGAAGCCAGTGTGTGAAGGTACATAAGGAGTAATGGATCAAACAAGTAGGACTCTTTAAAGTAAAACTCATAAAGAAATTAAGAGGGTACAACACAAAGCATTGGATAATTCATGAACGTTGGTGGATCTTAAGGCTACAAACTTGATTCACAATTTTGAAATCAAATATCAGAATTTGTTGGCATAACTAAAGATTAGTTTTGCTTAGCTGGCATGGTGGTTAAGTTTGTTATTAGTTAGTTGGCCGGGTTGTTATTTTCTGTTTTCTTTTAGCAATACATATATAGCAGTGCTTCTCCTTTGTATCAAACAATCAGAGAATTATCATCAATTCACATTCTTCTTCCTTCTTTTCTTTCTCTGGTTCATTTTTTCTTCTTCTTCTGTGAAGAAATCCAACATGGTATCAGAGCAGTAGAATTCTCTTCTTCTTCACAGAATTCCTCTTCGCTGTGATCCTGATATCAATGGCGACAGGAAATCCAGGTCAAATCGAGCCTTCTGATCCCTTATATCTTCATCCATCAGATCATCCTGGCCTGGTGCTGATTTCAACAAAATTCGAGGGCGATGGATTCGGATCCTGGCAGAAATCCATGAAGATTGCTCTCTCGGCTAAGAACAAGATGGAATTTGTTCATGGAAGAGTTGCGAAGCCGATCAACAATCCTATCAAACTCAATGCCTGGCAGAGGTGTAATGACATGATTACATCCTGGATTCTGAACACACTAAGCAAGGAAATTGCAGATAGTGTTTTGTATGCAGAAACTGTGACTGATCTTTGGAATGAGCTCATTGATCGTTTTGGACAAACTAATGGAGCGAGGTTATATCAACTTCAGAAAGATCTATGTTCTGTTTCGCAAGGAAATTCTGAAATTTCTGCATATTATACAAAAATGAAGAAAATCTGGGATGAATTAGCTACAGTTTCAAATTTACCCAGGTGTACTTGTGCTGCTGTACAGGAACTTCTGAAATATGAACAGGATCAGAAATTAGTTCAATTCCTAATGGGGCTCAATTCAGATTATAATACCATAAGGGGAAATATTCTCATAATGAGGCCCCTTCCATCTGTTGCTACAGCCTATGGCATGCTTATACATGAGGAGAAGCAAAGGCAGATTCAGGCTGGATCTCCTTTCATTGCTGAACATACATCTTTGAATGCAAATTTGCAGACATCATTTAGAGGAAGAATGGATGATAAGAAGGTCATTGTGTGTGAGCATTGCAAGAAGAAGGGTCACACGGCTAACAAGTGCTATAAGCTTGTGGGGTACCCAAAGGATTTCAAATTTACAAGGAATAGAAGATTAGCCGCAAATGTTCACAATGAAGGAAGCTATGATTCTGCCAGCAACAATTCAAGTGAAGATAGCAGAAATGAGGGCCAGTTCACTCCAGAACTCTGTGGACAATTTTTGAGGATTCTTCAGTCGATGAATGAAGGCAAATCCCACATGACTTCTGATTCCAACTCAAATTCTCAGGCCTTTTCTGCTCACATGGCTGGTATGACCTACTTTCCTTCTGATTTCATAACTTCACATATGTGCAATAGTGTGTGTAAGATTGATAATTGTGCTTGGATTCTGGATACTGGAGCAACTGATCATATGTGTGCTAATCAACTTTTTCTCACTAAAGTCAAACACCTTTCCAGTCCTCATCACATAACTTTACCAACCAATCAACAAATCACAGTGTTTCAAACTGGTTCTGTCACTTTATCTTGTGATATAGTCCTTGATGATGTCCTTTTTGTCCCAGATTTCAAATTTAATCTGTTATCAGTTGGCAAATTATGTAGTCAGTTGGGACTCACAGCCTGTTTTACACCAAACAAATGCATTTTGCAGGGCCTTTCCAAGAGGAGGCCACTGGATCTTGGTGAAAAACATGATGGTCTGTACATAGCCAAATCTCTTCAGTCTTCTCAAGTCTCCCAAATGTCTCATATTAGTTCTTTTGATGTATCATCTTCCTCTACTGATAATGCTCATAGTAGTTCCAGTTGTAATAAGGCTTGTAAAGTTTCAGATGTAACTGTTTGGCACATGAGACTTGGCCATTTGCCTCTTTACAAACTGAAATATATCTGTTCTTTTAATGATGAAAATGTAAATCATTTGTCCTCTTGTGATGTGTGTCCTAAAGCTAGACAACACAGGTTACCATTTCCCCATAGTCTCACTCATTCTGATCACATTTTTGACCTCATTCATTTGGATTTATGGGGACCCTATCACACCAAAACACACAATGGTTTTCAGTATTTCATGACCATAGTGGATGATTTTTCCAGAGCCACATGGACCTATCTCTTGTCTGCCAAAAGCAATGCTCCAGATATCATTCAAACCTTTGTTGTCATGGTTTCTACTCAGTTTGGTAAATCAATAAAAATAGTGAGATCTGATAATGCTCTGGAATTAGGCAAAAGCTCACTCATGTCTAATTTCTTTCTTTCTAAAGGAATCCTCCATCAAACTAGTGTTAGGGACACCCCTCAACAGAATGGAATTGTGGAAAGAAAACACAAACATCTCTTGGAAACATCTAGAGCCTTATTCATACAGTCCAATTTACCACTCAAATTTTGGGGGGAATGTGTCCTTACTGCCACATATCTTATAAATAGATTCCCAACCAAACTTCTGAAAAACAAAACCCCTTATGAACTTCTGTTTGGAAGGGCACCCCAGTATGATCATTTGAAAGTGTTTGGTTGTTTGTGTTATTCTTCAACTCCTAAAACAGGAAGACATAAGTTTGCAGATCGGGCTCCTGCTTGTGTCTTCCTAGGATATCCTTATGGTCAAAAGGCTTACAAAGTCTACAATCTGAACACCCATAAAGTTGAAACTTCAAGAGATGTCATTTTCCATGAAACCATATTTCCTTTTCATAAACATTCCCCTTCACCTCCTTTGTTTCCTTCTCATCATAATCCAAATGAACCCTTTCCAGATTCTACTCTTCATACTTCTCCAGTGGTTTCCCATGAATCTCAGTCTTCAGCCACACCTTTGGAGAATGTGGTTACTCAATCCATCAATACTTCACATGACCAACATCATTTAGAACCTCTTAGAAGATCTCACAGAACCCATCAAACTCCCCCATATCTACAGGACTATGTTTGTCAGTCCAATACCCAATTTCCATCCCAGTGTTCCAATGTCATCTCTTCTGACCAGTTTTGTCCTCATACAGTCACTTCCATTTCCCCATCCTCACACATATGTTTGGGAGCTCTAGCTCCAACAAGCCAACAATTTTTGCACACTATTTCTCATATGCAGGAGCCAAGAAATTATGAAGAAGCTAGTGTTGACTCAGCATGGAGACAGGCTATGGACCTAGAATTTAAGGCTTTGGAATCTACTGGGTCATGGGAAGTTTGCACTTTACCTAGAGGGAAGAAACCCATAACCAGCAAATGGGTATACAAGCTCAAGTTTAAGTCAGATGGATCTTTAGAAAGACACAAAGCCAGGTTGGTCATTCGTGGGTGTACTCAGAAAGCCGGCATTGATTATCATGAGACATTCTCTCCAGTTGTCAAAATGACCACAGTTAGAACCCTCTTGGCTGTAGCCGTCAAACATAAGTGGCCTATTTTCCAATTGGATGTCAATAACGCATTCTTACATGGAGATCTACATGAAGAAATATACATGAAGCCTCCTTTAGGAATGCAGCTTCCTGATCCCAAATTGGTCCTCAAGTTGAAGAAGTCACTTTATGGTCTTAAACAAGCCTCTAGGCAATGGTATGCCAAACTCTCCATGGTTTTGAGATCCAAAGGGTACATTTCTTCCAAGAATGACTATTCTTTATTCACTAAGCGCCTGGATTCCTCAGTCATTCACCTTGCAGTTTATGTTGATGACATCCTCATAACTGGAGACAACCTAGCTGAAATAGAAGCATTAAAGCTTCATCTTGATGACCTATTTAAGATCAAAGACTTGGGGTTTTTAAGTTACTTTCTTGGTTTAGAAGCTATTCCTGCCAACCAAGGCCTCATTCTCACACAAAGGAAATTCACCCTGGATCTCCTTAAGACATTTGGCTGCCCTCCTGATTCTTCAGCTTCATGCCCTCTAGAGGCCAATTTACAACTCAGAATTGGCATTGGATCGCCAATATCAGATCCCACACTTTACAGATGTCTTGTGGGGAAACTCAACTTCCTCACTCACACAAGACCAGACATTGCTTTTGCTGTTCAATTTCTAAGTCAGTTCATGCAGGATCCCAGAGAACCTCACTGGGCAGCAGCACAACACACCCTCAGATACCTCAATTCTGCACCTACTCAAGGCTTGTTTTTCAATGATTCTTCTGATCTCACTCTCCAAGCATTCTGTGACTCTGATTGGGCTGCTTGCCCCAATACTTGCAGATCTGTTAGTGGCTATTTTGTATTATTTGGTGGCAGTCCCCTCTCTTGGAAAGCAAAGAAACAAACTACTGTCTCCTTAAGTTCAGCAGAAGCTGAATATCGTTCTATTCGAAGGGTTACTGCAGAGCTAGCTTGGTTGTCTCGCCTTCTTACTGATTTTGGGGTTCCTAATATCACTCCTATTCCGGTTCGCTGTGATAGTAAAGCTGCCATCTACATAGCCACAAACCCAGTTTATCATGAACGCACCAAGCATATAGAATTGGATTGCCATTTTGTCAGAGAGAAGTTACAAGATGGCTTGATAATTTTGACTCATGTTCCCAGTTCAGAACAGCTTGCTGATCTTTTCACAAAGAGCTTACCTAGTTCTCTTCACCACAAGCTTCT